AGGATCGCGGTGGACCAGATATTCCACCCGAGATGTTGTGCGCACTTCTGTCCATCCGGTCCGCGAGGTTGCCGAACTCGTTCGCATTGCCCTTCAGCAATCGGCTTTCGAAATCGAGCTGGGCGTGTGCGTACATCAGGTCACGAGCAGCCAACAACGGAGTTGTCTGGATTTGATTGAAGGAGTCGAGCGCTTTCTCATACCGGCCGTGCTTCATCAAGTAACGCGGTGATTCTGGCATGAGGTAGATCATGACCAAAAGTGGGACGGTTGGAATCAGGACCGTGTTGGTGAGAATCCGCCAACTTGCATATTGATTATCGCTGTATATGACCACAAGCAGATTGCAGAGGAAGCCAAGGAATATTCCTATAAGCGTCAGTATTGTAGCTCGATTACCTGGGAACAGACATACCCGCAGCATCTGCTAATTGCCAATTAGCCAGAATTGCGCCACGAATATGCTCGGGCGACATCTACTGCCTAGTTAGTGCGCCAGGACCAATCCAAGACTTCAATCTCCTTACCTCTGCGGAGTATATTGGTACTGGGACTTGTTAACGTGCGTTCTGCTTGATGGGCTTTATCTATCTCACCGATAGAGGCTTTCGCACCGAGAGCAACACCATTGATCGCCCTGCAGATTGCGAGCTGGGCCACATTCTGAGATACCGATGCACCAATTGTCGAAGCAACGGTGATGGCGCATGAAAGCATGACGCTACCACGACGACCCAGCACGTTTTCCTGGAGGGGGTCTGCCAAAACAGTGCCGAACAGTCCAGCGGAAAGAAAAGGTATCGCGTTCAGCATACCGAAGGTCCACAGTTGGCCATTACCACAATTCTCGGTAATGCACAAATGGAATTCTGCAGGCATTCCGTACGCCGTTCCGTTGTTCACACTCTGCGTCCAACCTTGTATCATCCCACCCAGGCTAGCCGTGATAACTATGGAAGTCAGGGCCACGACATTGTAGAAAGGATGCTTGGGACTTGCTTGTTGCTTTGAAGAACTTGGCTTGCTTCCAAAAGCCGCTCGACTTGTCTTTCTCTGTGCGAAGTAGGACCTTCTCCGGCCCAGTAATCTCGTCTTCGTATCTGCGCATGGCTGCGCCTTTGTCCCGAGCCAGGCGGGCTGCAAAGGAAAGCATGTACAGTCGGTGGAGAAGGCCACCCTGCTCGGCAAATCGATACACATATTCCTCGAGTTCAGTGCGGCCTGTCTCCGGGTCGGCTAGAGTATCATCAAAAGTCAGGAGTGGATTATCAATTCTATGTCTATCAGCGCAGAAGGGAAGCAACTCCACACTCCAAACATACGTCTTCTGGGCTCCCGTTGAACGAACATTGGTGGTTGCAGCCTTGTGGTCCCCGAGCATGCCTCGACGCTGCTTTGGTGTCTGCTGGTCCATTAATTTCTGGAGACTTGACGTCGCAACAATACAAGCCTACAGCAGGGGAAGTCCAGACTGCATGTTGTAAATGTGCTTGGGATTGCGTATCATCAAGCGCACGAGGACTTACCATAATGCGAGGCCGCATTGTGAAGGTTACCACATCTATGGTTACTCAAACTTCACGGACCAGAAGACGACTAGACTCGCCAAAGACGATACTCTCGGGTAATACAATGCAACAACAATGAGGTCGCACATCCAAGGCAACGAACACCATATACATTTGTATTCTTTCGAGGCTGTTGCCTTAGCGCAGCCACAAGGCTGAGCTGAGGCTTTCTCTGCGATGACTTGAGCATGCGTTCTTGTCTTCTTGATGCGCAGTTGCCCGTCAGATGCCATGCACGTCTACTTGGAGACATATGCAAGGGCGGCTCGGCAGGCGGGCTGTGTGGTTAAGAAGCCAGAGACCTGCGCTCGGATTGGCTGCCTTGCTTTTGGCGTGCCGTAATTGAGGATCCGGCCAACCAGGATGGCCGCCACAAACCACGGGCAGGTTTGAAGTGCTTAGCTATTGCATCACGCTGCGCTTCAGTGCCACTTAGTCTCGAGATCTACACCTGATGCAAATGTTCAGACAGAATGTCTATGCCGACAACTCAGGATTCGATTGCTGCTTGATGCGGTGCACCGAGTTCTAAGCCTGCATCATAAGCTACGACACCACGAGTGACAGTGTCAGTTCTTCGAGTCATCGAGGTAACACGAGTCTAAGCAGAGGCTGAAGGCCTGCTCTTTCGGCAACAGCTGTCACATTCTCAAAGGGCAGTGCTCAGCCCCGCGCCGCCCTCCTCTCATCTCCACCTTCCGTCACAACGACGAACATTACGTTTACTTGCAGCCTGCATTAGTTTGACGGGTGGGTGTTTGCCTGCTTTCACGTCCGTGCGCGTCTCTCCATACCGACGGGCTAACTAAGTGCCCCGCCCGATCCACACTGGGGTAGCGTTGCTTCTCCACGATCCTGATGGAAAGGTCGAAATTCTACTTTCTCGACCGCTGATACTGCGCTCGAATTGAAACGCCTTCGACCTGGTGTAAGATGCGGTATACAGCCTCACAACTGCCTTCTTCCGAGGTCCTCCCCAAGATCACGTTCACGGCTCGCACCGCACGTGCGTAGTGCTCCGCCACCCCAGGTATTGATCTTAGACCCAATATATGCACCGTCCATGCAAGGACCAGCGCACACCCGCAAAACCCGTTGCACTATTCTCCACCTAGCCTTACATTCAACGCACACGCTCCCCACTGCAAACGGCGATCATCCCAGCCCAGGAACCAAATACTTCGAAGGCTGAACCTTGATGTAACATCGATATCGACATGGACGCCGCTGCCAGCGTGATTACCGTGGCAGAGTTCATTTGGAAGCTCTTACACAAGTCACTGCACTACATCAAAGAGGTGAAACTCATCAGCGAACCCATCAAAGAGCTACTTGAGAGAGTGAAGGACTTACACCGATTGACCAGGGCAGTCAAATCCACATACGCTCAGGCAGAGGCAAGCCTAGGAAAAGGCTCCAAATCGTTACGGATCGTGGGCAAGGCACTCGCTACCTGCGATGGACGACTGGAAAGCTTGAAGCCATTGGCAGTGGAGTTGGCTTCGTTGGACACTCAAACATGGCGACAGAAAATGACTGTCAAGCGGCGGCTCGACAAAGTCAAAGACGAAATCGAGGACACGAGGAAGAAGATCCGTGAGGATATAGATTATCTGAACACTGGCCTGAACCTAGTAAGGTTCGAGCTTGACGCCAATCGTCGTCCGTCTGAAACGCTCGAGCTACAACGATCGCTACTGCCGCACGCAGAGATACCAGCTACGAACGAAGACGAAGACATTCCACCCATGACCAGGTCGTTCTCGGCAGCTGATACATTATTCGGACCCGATCCAGATTTGCAACTACGGCGTCTCTCCACAGCCCCGACATCGGCGGAGTCACGACCCTCGATATCCTCAACTCTATCACACGCGCCATCGATATTGTCTAGTCGCAGCGACAGTATTATCTCGGGAACAGAACCCTTGTCCACAAACTCGAAGAGCGCATGGATAGATTTTCATTTTCATGTCGCAAAGTGCGCCGGGGACGGGGAGCGCATACGGCAGATTCGCGAAATCCTGCATGAGTACGCAGGTGACACTCCTCTTGCCAGCTCGACCGACACTTGGGACAGGACTCCATTACATGTGGCGGCTCAAAACGGCGATGTGGACCTTGCGCGAACTCTGGTCGAGTTTGGCGCTGACATCAATGCACAAGACTCGGAGCCGTCCTCTGTTCTCGACATGGCAATTGCAGGCGGGCGGCGACACTTCGTTGCCTTTCTACTTGACCTCAACGTCGACGAATCCAAGCTCCAGCCTCGGAACGCGGCCAGACTGAAGGAGATGAAGTGTAGCATCAACTTTGAGAAGAAGAACGCATCGAAGAAGAGCCGCAAAGGCAGCCAAGCCTCACGACAATTCGTCATCTGAGTCATTTCTCAAATGACCTCGGTAGGTACCTACCAATGTGGCAAAATTCGACGAATGGCCAGTGACTCGGGTGAACTGAAATGGGCTGTGCAGCTCTCGTGGTTGGCCCTAGGCGAGCGACAAGGCAGCTTCCACCGGTCGAGCGTTGTGCTACCCACCAGTTCGGTTCGCATAGAACAAGGTACCGGCTCCGTGACCCCGCCATATCACCTGCACAGCGAGCGTACCGACCCGGCGCTTTACCAAAAGCGGCATGTACATTCACTCCATCAAAGTCTGGAAATGAGCTCAGCCTCCACAACTGAACAGCGCAGCAAATGCTCGACTGACACTATAGTAATGATTCGCTTACGAGCGTGGAGATGGTGACGTAGCCATCATAGCAGCGCAAGCTCAGATGCGTGTTCGAACGTCGGCTAGACTGTGATGTGAATAACTTGGAGTTCTAGCCTGTTTCACACTCTCTTTTATGCTTTCAGCCAGTCAATTTTACGACTTGCACACGATACCCTATGTTGTATTACTAGATTGGATTCTTTTCGTCCGAAGATATTGTATGGGCTTGAGTACATAACGCGTTCCGAATCGTGAAGCGCCAAAGTATCGGCTGCTTTGTATCATCGCCTTACGGATGGATAACCACTATGTAAAATTTGGCTTGCATACCCCATGGATATTGAAAATATTAGTTTTACATGCTCCACATCATCTGTGCCCATTTCAATGAGCAGACTCTGGACTCACCTCGAAGTGACCTCCAACGTGTAAGGACACCGACACATACGCCGTGATCATGTCTCTAAGCATACATCGTCAGGGTTGGTTGCGCTTTTATATGTACACAACTATGGTAATCTCTAATCCTACGCCGGCCAAAAGAGAAAGCTCGGCATTCCAATATCAATGTCAACGATAGCATCATGTCGAGGGCCCTCTGAATGAGATCGTGAGTCGAACTAGGGGCACATATGGCTTGGATTAAGACTGAATATCTTTTGGAGGAAGGAAAGAGGGCCAAAAGGGGCAAAAAGGGGTAAAAAGATAAATCACATGACTCAACCGAGGCTCGAACTCGGGACCTTTCGCGGTCTTCACTTAGATGTGAGGCGAACGTGATAACCAACTACACCATCGAGCCCTTGCTGTGATTTGTTGATTTGGAAAAGTGGTCAACATATGAAGACAACAGACCTGAGGGATGATGTTATGAGTAATGGTTTTGGGCGCTAGCTAAGCTCAATGCGGGGCTGAAGAACATCAAAACTTCCACCACTGCTCGACTCAGCGTGTTCTCCGCCCAATGGTGTCCCACCCAACCCGTCAGCAATGCATATACCAAGATGCACGGTGCTCGATATCTCTCTGTAGTGACCATGGGTCCATTCCGCTCGATGATGACGCTTCTTCCGTTCCAACATTTTTCCGTTTTGAGCCATGTGTTTGCAGCTATTACGGAGTTCTAGCTTAGCTAATCTTTAAGTAGTAACTGCTTCTTGGAAGCTCTTCTAAGCTGTGACACTCTAGCCTCTATAAAGCCTTCTTTTCGTCGCACGGTGGAGGTTCGTTCGTCTTTCAACTTCGACCTCTTGTCAGAGCTTTCATCCGCCGTCCAGTTCTTGCCTACGCGTTCACGAAACTCCCAAGATGTCGACATTTCAGAAATCACTACCCTGGACTTCGGCGCCACTTATCGCCAATGCTCCCATGGCTGGCTTTGCGGGTGGTGCACTTGCGTCTGCTGTCACCATCGCTGGAGGTCTTGGCATGATTGGCGGGCTGTTCAACATGGACGATGCTCGCAAGGAGCTGCGCGTTGCTTCCGAGGCATTTGCAGCTCATAACGCACTTTCATCGTCGAAGGTTCTACCCATAGGAGTTGGCTTTCTACCGTTCGTGCTCAAACTTGAGGACGTCCTCCCGGTGATCGAAGATTTCAGACCTGCTGTTGTCTGGCTGTTCGCAGCGAAGGAGTTGGATGACTATGCAGAATGGACTGCAGCGACGCGCAAGGTCTCACCAGACAGCAAGATCTGGGTCCAGGTCGGCAGCGTGGCGGCTGCACTACAAGTCGCTAGAACTGCAAAACCGGATGTGCTATGTCTTCAGGGCGCAGACGCAGGCGGCCACGGATTCGAGAAAGGAGCAGGCATCGTCTCATTAGTGCCGGAGGCTTCCGATACTCTCGCACGTGAGGGCTTTTCACATATTCCACTCGTGGCTGCTGGCGGGATTGCTGACGGCCGTGGTGTTGCGGCTGCTCTCGCCCTTGGAGCCCACGGCGTGGTGTTGGGAACACGGTTCTTGGCCGCGAAGGAAGTGACTGTGCATCCTAGATATCAGGCTGCGGTTTTTGAGGCGCGAGACGGCGGACAAGTAACGACTCGCTCGAAGCTTTTTGATCAGCTGCTTGGCCCTAATCCGTGGCCGCAACTGTACGATGGACGGAGCTTGGTCATTAAGAGTCATGAAGACTTTTTGAGCGGAGTGAGCATTGAAGACATACAGAAACTTCATAACGAAGCTGTTGTGAGAGACGACAAGGGCTTTGATACTGGTTTACAAGGTAGGGCAGCCATTTGGGCTGGAACAGGCGTCGGCCTTGTTAGTGAGATTGAAGGCGCTTCAGAAATCGTGAAGAGGTTGCGACTTGAGGCAAAGCAGATTCTCTCGAATGCTGCATAGCTGTAAATAACAGAAAAGAACAATTGGAACTGCCTGAGAGTTATTTGGTGTGTGGCAAAGGTGCTTTATCGCAATGTCAAACTCACAACAACAATCCCAATGCTTTCTTGTCTAGTAGGAAAGTACTTCGACATTACAAGTCGCGTGATATGCTCACAAAATTCACTCAACAGGGATGTTAATCTGTCCGAGCCAAGCAGTCGGACTTCGCGATGCCTTACGGCTTCCAGCGCGGTTGCGCGTTGTTGATCGCCGGCCTCGTCGCGCTCTCCGATCACGTCTGACGTCACTCTAGGTTGCGCATTCACCACAGTGTCGATTTGGTAGCACAACATTGGGTTCCACGTTCTGCACACAAGACTTGGCAGATTTGTTTCTCTGGTCATTGGCTCTGTGACACACCCCAAAGCGATTTCCAACAACTGGTCGTCCTCTTGTTCGCTTGGTCATCTCGAAATTATGCCACTTCTAATACCGTTGCATCTGCTGCCTGCTTCGATTTCAAAGCACAGTTGAGATATGAGATAGCTTCATCGTGCCGAATATGCCATCCGACCACTAGATCTCACCCTGCGACATGTCTTCGTTGAAGCTGCTAACCAATAACCAGTGGTCCCATCGATTTCTCCGCACCAGGGACCCCAAACAAGCTTAGCCCGTGTCTGTCAGCATGTTTCGACAAGACCTTGGCTGTGTTCTCGAGAACACGAGCACGGAGTGGATCGCGGAATGGTTTATTCATAGGAGCGGTAGCTGGGCTTGTCTTCGCATTTTATCGTTGGGTGCGGTAACTGGTGTCAACTTTGGTGCAAGGCCACCCACGCTTGACCATTTCGGGAAAGAATGGTGGCCAAGATCGCCCACAGGGCTGAACACAGCCAGTTTCGTCAGCGGCCCCTCCACAGCCCATGCATCGACAGCCTCAAAGCCACCCACGGCAATAAAGATGCAGGAACGTTCCCTCCGTCGGAGAGGCTCCCTTCCGGAAACGACAGTTTTCACGCTATTCACGCTTGTCACGCCATTCGACGTTAATTGAGCTTAAGTACGCCCGGCTCGAGCATGAAGGATACTACAAGCGGAGAACCAAAAGCGACCCGCCAATGCTGGGAGTGCCTCAAGCGGCGCCTAGTTTGCGATCACACCTTGCCTCATTGTAAAAAGTGTCAAAAGGTAGCGTCAACATCTCGTGAATTAGCAGGTATACTAACGATGACTAGGCCGGAAAAGAATGTCCTGGTTACGATGAACAAAAGCCGTTGCAGTGGGTCGAGCCCGGGAAGGTGACTTCTAGGCGCAGGAAGAAGAACAGTCCGCCCACGATCTACACTACACCAGTTAAGGATCCGACAGAGACTGCGAAACCCAAGAAGACGAAGAACCATGAGAAGATCAGCGAGCTCGACGACCCAGGAACATGGCATGGCCTTCCACTACGCTCCAACACTGCAAAGGAGTGGGAGCTGCGCATGTTGCAGCTTGCCTCGCGTTTTCCCGAACTGGACGCCCCAGCACTTGATGTCATTGAGTACGAACGAGAATTTTCGCTCAGGCCACCCTCGACTGAGTATCAATGGGGCGAGCTTATTGAAGACGAGGAAGAGCAGGCTATCCAAGTGGAGGCATCACAGGTAGCTAAGCACATTCGAGCAATCAACAGAATCTTTAATCTCGGAACAAGAGACAAGATCCAAGAAGTGGTGGTCAGGAAAGACTTCAGGGGTGCTGCGGACATGCTCAGGTCTGAGAGGCAGCCACTCGAGAGATTGGAACGACTTCTACGACTTATGAAGATGCACGATCTACCTAATTACGATTACCTGACCAACGAGACCAACGAAGTCGTGCAGGCCGTACAGTATTACAACTTGCGTATACTTCCGACTGTCAAAGCTGCAGGCGAACTGGCACCAAATCCAGCGGTCATCTTGTTCCCGTTACGCGCACTGCACATCCTCCCACCTGCGATACATCACACGCTAGTTTGTCTAGCGCTAAACCACTACGTCCACACCCTTCCCATTGGAGCCGACAAGTCCACGGCTATCGAGAACCGATCCAAAGTGTACCGTCACCGGGGCGCCGCCATCCAGGCCCTTAGTGCCTACGTAGGAAAGGACAAGACACGTTGCAGCGACCTCACCATTGCAAGCATCCTCATGTTCATGAGCATGGAGCTTCAAAACCCGGCTATGGCAGACTGGCGCTCGCACGCCAGTGGTCTACGCCGCATCATCGACATGCGCGGCGGCTTCCGGAGCCTGATGAAGCAATCTCCACACCTGGCACCAACATTAGTAGTCTACATACTGTACGTCCCTCTTTTTCAACCACCGTCCTTGCAACCTCCAGACTAACCCAGCCGCACAGTATCGTCGTCATAGCAAATTCCTGCTCCCCCTCATGGGACCAAATCAACCTCTCCGACACCCCCACCGCAAGCCTCTCCGACATCCGCGAATTATACGAACTCATCTTCCCATACACCCTCTGCCCGCCCGCTCTATTCTTCCTAACCATCCGCATCAACCACCTACGCGCACGCGCCTCAGCCGTGCTCTTCGCCGGCGAAATCGACCCAGGCCACGCCCTCGAGGCACAGGACCTCCTCGCTGAAATCGAGGCATTTAGTCCCGAGGACTGGGCCCAGCCCGGCGCGAGTTACGACGAGTGGTTATGTATTGGGATCGTGTATCAAGCTGCCGTGGCGTTGTATGCGACCATGTCACTCCAGTCCCTCACGATTTTGCCATCGAGTTTGGAAATGAATAGTATGCGCAGCATACATGCTAGTCGGCTCGTCGAGGCGCTCACGTCGGCGCTCAAGTCGCCGCGCCTCGTCAATTTCTTGATCTGGCCACTCGTTGTGGCGGGCGTGGAGGCGGGGTTTGGCGACGACGCGACGAGGTATTGGATTGGGCAGCAGCTGTCGGAGTTGAGTAGGAGGTTGGGGACGAGTAGTCCGCTCAAGGCGCAGGCGGTGTTGAGGAGGTATTGGGCGAGGGAAGAACCGGGGTGGGATGAGTGTTTTGATCGGCCGTATGTGTTTGTGATTTGAGTTGGGTTGTTGAATTGGATGCTGAGACTTGGGCAGGGCGATGATTGTGCCGTGCACGGCATGCTAGAATGACAAGACGGGGGAGTGGGAAAGAAGGGAGTGCACTGGTTGAACATGTCGAAGGCTAGATAGATGAACGTTTGAAGCAGGAATGAGCGCGCGGGTGAAGCTTAAACTTCTATTCTCATTCTAAAGGCTGGCCATGACGAATGCTGGCCCGAAATATTACTTGATCGACTCATTCAGATCACAACTCCTCGATTGCCGCCTCCAGTACCAAACCCATCTAAGCCGTGGCAACTGCGTCGAAGATCGTAATCTGGCTCCACTTTCGCCCGCTGGCATTCACCCAGTTATCACTCGCCTTGACACCCTTTCCATCCGACACAAGATTGTAC